TCATCAAGCTGTGAAATGCCTTTTCTGTAAAGCTTCCATCTTGTATTGATTCTAGTCTGCTGTAATTCAAATGAAACTTCCTTTACCTTAAAGGCCAAGGATGGAGAGCAGGTAAGCAAGAAGTGCGTTCTGAGCCAGAACTTGATATTCTGTTTGGCCCCATCTTCTAGCAGGATGGTGAAATATTTAAAGAGCAGTGCAGGAGATGGTGGTCAGAATAATCGATGGTCAGAACAATGTGTTGGAGAAAAGCTTAGTTAAAGCAGGTAGGATAAATAGTGATAGAGAAGCATTAATATCAGCACAGCAGCTAACTGATATTATCAAAGAGGTCTGTACACTGCGAATACCATAATGCTAATGATGGATTCTGTTTAAAACAAAGAAAATTGCCTTGGAATTCAGCTTTCAATCAGAATTCAGATTTGAAGATATACAACCAGATTGATTGCCATTCACATTGAACTCACTCACTGTGCAACCAATATGGGAGAAGGGTAACTGATCCCTACTTTGTAAATTAAGAAACCCTACTGTAGGAAATCGTCTTTCACCTGTCCTTGTTCTCTTGGTTCTTCAGAAGGTCTTGCTGGAAGACCAGGTAATTCTACCTGCTCTGTAGAAGCCAAAAAGATATCATGTTTGTGCAAAATTCTTCATTCACAAACCTCAGGTGTTGGGTTTCGGCCATCAAGGACCATTAGCTAACAAGATTTGCTGTGCAGCACCTTGGCTCTCAGAGCTCTTAGGAAAGCCTATAGAAGCTGTTCAGTTGTTCAGCAGAATTTTTCACACTTCTTCTGGAGCTGTGAGATTCAGGTGTGCCGTGCTCACCATCACAGATGATTTCAGGCAGTTTAAGAATTGCCCTCCAAAACTTTCCCTTTCTTCAGTTAGCTAATTCAATATTAAAAAAAGTCTTCACTTTTCTGCTTTTCATTTGTATTGTCATCTGTGTTCATCTGAGTGACCAGAAGGTCTGTGACTGTCTGGTATATCAGAGCTGTCTGGTACATGGATAAAAAATAGTTTCAAAGTTGATGAAATAACAGAGGCGTATCTCCTTAGGGCAGAGCAGGGGACACTGTATGTTCCTTTTACAGCTCCTAGCTTACTGTGCATAGCTCAGGGCACTTGATAATTTTGCACTTCGTGGTGTTCATGAGCCTCATAGGGGAATACAAGTAAAAAGACTGCTCTTGGAGTAGAGCTTTCCTTAGTGAGCCCTCTTATGCAGAGAAAATAGGATTGTAATTCATGCCAGCAGCTTAGATTCTCAAGAAGCAAAAAGAGAAAGCTGCTGAAATTGTTCTGAAGTTACATTGTTGAAATGTTTCCTTTATAGAATAGAGGAATACCTGTTTCTTGAGGATTAAGGAAAGGTGAATAGAAGCTGTGCTAGGTCTCACATCTGAGACCTGTTAGCCCTATCCTCAACCATTCCCCCAACAGCACCGGCGCAGAAAGTCAGCAAAAACAAAACCCCCAGAAAGGGAAGCTGCTGTGCACCCACTGCCCTGCTGTGCAGCATCTCTCTTTTAGCAGAGTTGTTACTGCTTCGACTGAGAGAAGAATTCTGCGCAGCCAGAATGAAGTTTTAGGTCTCAGGGTTTTTTTTGTTGCTTTTTGTTTTGTTTTGTTTTCAGATGAAAAGCGATGTTTTGGCTTTTAAGATAATATGTGTTTTTGTTTATTTTTTTGGCTTTGAAGGAAGGCGCATGCTGGGAATCAGCTCTTGCAATATGTTTCATAAATATCTGAGGTATCTAGCATTTGAAAATCAGCTCTCTGATTTTACTAAGGGGTATTTAAGGAAAGGGAAACCTACATCATACTGATTCCTGTCAATAGTGTGGAAAGTTGGGAGGTCAAGTCTGAAGGGCATGTGCAGGGTTCAGCTGAAACAGAAATAACCATGCAGCAATGAAACTGCAGATGCATCTCCTCAGCACGGGCCTGGATAGTACTGTTTTAGACATGGTTTTAAGTCCAGGTTTAAGCAGCCAAAGGCCCAGTACAAACTTGCTTTCAAGTAGGTGTGAAAGTGCATACTTGTAAAAATCTGATTTTGCTCAGAAGTTGATGAAATTATTTCACCAAAAGCTTTTGTAAGTGTGGACATCACCCAGTGCTTTCCTTCCGGATTTTGTCTGGAGCAGTTCCTCTGCTGGAGTTCCTAAGCTGCTGTACTTTACCAGAATCTGGAGACTCATGTTGAGAGCAGGAGTAACGTTTTTCATATTACATGTCGTGTGGACATGAAGGGGGAAAGTGTGGTGCTGCTGAAGCTGCTGTAGTTAGCATGTCACTGCAGTGCTGCCTGTGCCTACTGGTGAGCACCGTGCTTTTCTCATAAAGCAAGGAAAGCTTAGCCCATCTGTCACTGGTGATTAATGCATTTGCTCTTGAAGTTGCTTGTGGAGGATTTTTCTGAAACAAATCACAAAAAAAAAAAACCCAAACAACCCAACAGATAATCAATAATATTTTGTTCGTAGCACTTTAATTTTAAAGATCATGAATAGACCAATTTCAGCCTGTGAAGGCATCATTTTGTCCACGCAACATAAAATTACTTTCAAGTGAACAACGTGATTCAGTGATATCCCATCAAAAATGTAATCAAGTATAAGGACCATTTGTATCTCACTGCTGTAGTAATACGATTTTGGTATCCGTTCTGCATAGTTTGAAGTTTTCTTCTCTCTCTGAATCAATGGGTAGTGTACAAACAGTGTGGAGATATTAACCAGATCTTTGCAAACTGACCAGGTACCAGATCCATGGGCCAGTGGAGCTGCCTGAGCGTGGAGCTAGGCTTGTGGAGAAAGTTGTGCTGAGTGTAATTTGTGAATTATCTGGAATCATACATGCTTGTCTACTTGATGAATGGTATTTGTGATTGCATGGTAACAGAGTGATGCATGAAACTGATTGCATCCTTGTGAATAACTGATCCAGCAGACCTTGCTCAGGCAGAACGAGTGGAACTGGAAAATGGGCGTTGAGCTGCTTAGGGCTGGGGGTGGAAAAGGAGCACTTGCTGGCAGCCTCACAGTGTGGAAAGTCTGACAGCTGCAATCATTTTACATCTCTGATTACATTCTTTCAAGACTAGGCAATATCCAGTCAGAGATGCACTCGGGAGAACCTAGCATCTCGCCGGTGAATGAGGCTGTTCTGACTGATCTCTGAATCCCAGTAAGTCCTTGGGCGAGAGCACAGGTGGTACAGTTTCTTGTGGACATCTGCAGATGTATGCCAGACATGTATTCACAGAAGTCTGACTCTGTGCTAAGGTCAGCAATGCAGTAATTTGGCAAAATAAGGTAGAAGAACATTTTTGTAGTAAATGTAGGACATCTGACAAAGTACTGCAGTTGAGAAGTGATGAAATAATAAAAAGCCGTCTGGACTTAGAGGAAGAGGAAACCTGATGTATGTATGCTGTGTGTGTTCATATGCATATCTACTTTTAGGATCTTACCAATGAAATACCTGTGAGGGTAATCCTGAAAGCATGGGTAAATCTGCTCTGTCATACCTTGGTGTTGGACTCGTGGTCTCTGTGCTAACCTTCATGCTGTGCTTCCTTACATGCACTGATTTCTAGGTGTGTTGCTTAACTCCCACACTGGCACGGTACAGCTCTCTCCTGTCTGTTGTAGTTTTCATCATCCATTCATCACCACAGCATTGGGAAAGAGTAAAAGCACCAGGGGATTTGCTTTTGGCTGCTTGCAGAGATGGGATGAGTGAGATGCAGCGTTCTGCGTCAACATCCAATGAGCAGGGAAAGGCAGGGTAGGCTTTGTGGAATCAAACGCTGCTTAAAGAGAGGAAGCAGCCTCACTGTGAGATGCATTCTCCATAGTGAGAGCTGAGCCAGGAGCAATCACAGAGCTGGGGCAGAGGTTGGTGGTTTGTCAGTTGGTACAGATTGGCATTTTCCTGCTGGCTTCTGTGAGACCACACTGACTTCCATCAGCTGGGAATCTAACCCATAATAGCCACCATAGGAAACCTGATCATTATAGTCTTTATAGTCTTAATCTTTGCTGTTGGAATCAATGCTTTGGAGATACTTAATACAGAGAAACCACGGGGTAACTGTTAACGACCCTTCACTGAACTAATGTGATTGTTCTGTTTATTTTGCTGCATCGTCTTATTGGAAAGGATTTCTCTCTTAAAGAAATTGTGTGCCAATCATGGCCATGTCACTTCTTTAATTTGTGATTTTAGTAGGGATGAGCTTGGTTGTGGATGCACTTCAGAAATGAGTCATGAATCTTCAATGTAATAGATGTCTTTCCACAAAAGATGTGTATGCAGAAAAGCGTGTTCTTGTCTTACATCCTCAGCATCTAACTAGCAATGTCTCTGTGTTTATTTTATTTATTCAGCCAAATCTGCAATGTGCCGTGCATTTTTCCTTCTATTTGTTGCTTGGATACTGCATGAAAGCACTCCCTGAAGTATAAATAATGTCTAGCAGAGCATGCTGCAAAGCAAAATGCAGTACAGGATTAAAAGATGTTTACTAATTTCTGTTAACCTTGGAGTTCTTCTAATGGAGAAAGATTAGTGATGAAATCATCCCCTCGGATCAGAGCTTTGATTCATATCTTGAGGTAATATCCTGGAGAGATATAAACCCAGATTGCCTTGATGGGAAGAGGCAGAATGAATAGGAACAGAGGCAGAGACTGGACTAGCACAGAGGATGAAAATTTGCTTCTGAGTGGCACTTTTTCAGCTTGTAGCATTCTTCCTATTAGCTTTGATCTCTTTCAGTGTGCAGTGCCAACACTTTTTTCTCCCCCCAATCACTTTGTATCTATATGTTGCACAATGTGGATTTTTTAAAATTCTGTTTTACTTTCTTTAAATGTTATTAAGCCTTTGGGGTGGATGTATGTTGTGCACAGCAGCTCTTGTACATGTGGGAGAATGAAACGTGGCTTGTGGAATAATAACATTCTGTCAGACAATTAGTATTTAGTCAGTTGATCATGAAACTTTTTTTCTTTGCAATGACAGGCAGTCGCCAGATGATGAAATGTGGGTGAGATTTGCTGTTGAAAGAAGTGTTTCATTTGTGTTGACTCTAGAAACAAAGCTTTCAGCTTGTAGTTCTGCATCTGGGATTAAAAACAAACAACACCAACAAGAACACAACTTCCAAACTTTTTTTCTAACATCTCTCTGTTTTCTCCCCAGTTTATTTTGAAAGAACTATAGGAACAGCTCATGCCCGTACCTATGCTGTTCTGGAGCTTTGTTGCTTAGGTATAAGAGGAGCTCAGGTTCTTTATGGAGCTCAGTTAGGTTCAGAGGTTTCTAGTTTAGAGGCTCGAGTTTCTCCGGTTATGGAACAGGCAGAGCAGAAAGGTGCCTTCTTATTTCTTTCCCCTGAACTTATCACCTACGAAGTGGCTGTTCACCATTAGGATATATTTACAAGCATTAATACAGCCTCCCTGCTTTCCCTACTATATATGGGAAGCAGGGGAAATGGTAGAAATAAATCATCTGGCTTATGGAGATTTATAAAGATCAGTGTGTCCTGCTTATTGTTTTCACCCTGTTTTCATTTGGCTCAGTAGCTACAGAAGATTGAATTTGCATGCCCGAGTGATTATGGTGCAGCAACAGTGCATCTCCTCCTCTGTTCGTGGTCTAATTCTGGGGGGAAAAAAAAAGAAAACAGGACAAGTGGAAGAAAAGATCAAGGAGCGGTGAAACACTTTCTTCTCCCTACATATAAACGTGGGTGCAATTCAGTCAGAGAAGGAGAGGGGTTGAGGATTGAGGAGAGGCAATAGAAACATCACCTTTTAAAATAGCATGCTGAAGCTTCTTCTCTGGAATCAAATCAAGAAGTGCTTTCACACCAAAATTTCAGAGAAAATGAGTATCTTAACTGCATGATTGTGTGCCATGCTTGATTTTAATAGGCTTTTTAGAAGAGTTATTCGTCTAAGTCAGATAGCAAACTGAGTGCATTCTGTGGGCCAAGGAAAACCTGTAAGTGTCATTTTTGGGGTACTTCAGGGGTTCTTCCCTGCTTTGATATGGGAAGCAATACAACTCAGAAAAAGCCATTTAGTCTGGAATACACACCAAGAGAAGCCACCGTCTTTTCCAGACACGAAATACTAGAATAGCTCTTCTCTGCAGGCTTTTCTGGCAAGTGTTCCACTGCTGCGCTTAGCAAGGACACGCTCTTGCAAAAGTCATGTCAACTTTCCTGTTCATCTGGGAGTTGTGAAAACTGTTCACGCTGAAACTCGAAACCAGGTGGAACTGACCCAGTTTCAGTAGCAGGTTGACATTATGGGCAGATCCGTCAGTTTTCCCGAAGGGTTTGAGCCGCCTTTGTCACCGCATGCAGGTTCATCCTGAGCCCAGGTCTGTGCCAGGGGCCAGAGCTGAGCTGCTGCAGGCCTACCGGGCCTGGCCGGAGGGAAGTGTGTGCAGGTCCTTTAGTGACAACAGTCTCTGCGGTCTCCTGCTTTTCAGTCTGCCCCTTTCCCTTCCATTGCGATGCCCTTGGCTCTCCCAGACGTATCAGGAAGGCACTTTGAGGAAGATTCTGTTTGCCACTGACCTAAAACTCCCTTTAAACAGAAGAATTAAGTTGCAGTTCTGACATGGAAGCATTACGGACGAGAAGCTCTGTTTAGTTTGTGTTCAGTTGACCTTCTGAGATAGTTGCCAAGTGTCCCAGGGAATGGCGAGTTGGTAAGAGGAGCAGACCTGCTCTGCCTGTACCTGCAGTGGTACAAAATGAAGTTGGCACAGCGACTCGTGCTCTGTGTGTGGGCTGCTCCTCTGCGTTCCAGCAGCTTGTGTGTGAACTGCAGGGAAGGCAGCTAACTCCTCAGGATTTTTCTTATGCAAATTGTCAAATGTGATAAAAATAAGTATTTCCAGAACAATCCACGGCGAAAAAAAAATAATATCTTTTTTTACTGGACCTATTGCTTATGTAAGGAGAGATTCTCCTTTTACTGTGCAGTCTGAGGTATTGGCAAGAGGAGTGAAGAAAGGCAAATGTGATGGGAGTTTTCAGTTCTTAACTGTGGCCTTAGAGGTGCTGTGTAAGAACTTCAGCCCCTCGCAAGAGAGAATCAAATGTTAGATAGATTTTGTGGCATTTTAGATTAATAAATCATCCTTTTTATCTTGCAATATTTTTTCTAGTTAGTCGTCACACAGAGAATTTAGAAGAGCAAATAAGAGTAAGAAGGAAAGACGGGGGTGATGATTAACCAGATTTGTAATTATTGTAAGCTCTGGTGTGCACTCTGCTTTCCATTAGAAAGATAATTGTCTTTCGTGAAGTTGTAAAATCACATCTTTGTTTCAGAACACAACAGTATAAAGCTTGCATTTGTTTTATAGTACCCAGGGAACATTTTGTGAATTACCTTCTTGGTTTTTCACATCTGCAATAAATGAATGTATTTTGTGGGTGGGCCTGTTTGGATATTGTGTCCACCGCAAACATAGCCTTCACTGTCAACCCCGTAAAGCCAGCCAGTACTGGCTGACTTTATTGGTGGAAAACAGCACAGAGTGATGGCTGGCTGAGGTTATCAGGCAATTTCTAGCGACGTGCTGCCAACCCAGCAGTTATTTTCTGCAGAAGAGTTATGAACTGGATCCTTAGCCTCGAAATCAGAATTTTTTGTCTGTACTTCTTTTGAGAATATGTTAAAGGTTTGGGTTTTCTTTTGGCTGAGAAAAGTGGTGGTTTGGTTAAACCTTAGAAACATTGATAGAGATTTGAGTGGCAATTTTGCCAGATTTAATGTCAGTTATTTTCCATAGAATTGCTTTGTGATAAAAGTAACAATTCAGCAGCAGTTCTGTATAAAAACGGATCCTGGGTCAGATCCTTTTTGTTCTGGGGAAAGCACCTGCCTCCAGATGTTGCTTCTACATTCCTGTTACTGCAATCAACCTCTTGTTCTCCTTGAGGCTTTGCAAAGCTCTAATCACATCAACTAAGTCACACTTTGCATTACTGCATGTATTTATGGCTAAGTGGATAATCACTTGTGCTTTTATTTAATAACTCCTAACGAGTGCACAAGTTATGCAGGCCATCATTACCAGTCGTGCACCACGGGAGAGGTACAATTCAAAGAATACAAGCAGAAACTTGTATTTCAGAGCTGTAAGAGGAAGGTGGGAGCAGAATTTAAGAAAAGCAATCCCTGCTTGATTACTAGAAGTTAACACATGATTTCCCCCTTAGTTTTCTCCAACACTGCAATCAGTGATGAATTGCACCGTGGACAATTTCAAGCTGGGTTGATTTGATAAGCAATGGCCCGAGTGTGACTTAAGTTATCCTATTTATGGCCTTTAAAGTATTAATTCCACTCCATAACAAATAATCTAATTAGCATTGTCAAGGGCTTAGTCAAAGAGAAGAAAGAGAATGAGTGAAAACTAGGTATACAAAAGGGCCTTGTGCATGTGAGAACCTTGTAATTGATTTGAGTGCTTTGCTACAGACAGCAGTAAACTGGTCGCAGGGTCACTAATTTGGAATCAACAGCAAATGACTGTATTAGGTCTGATGTTACCCAAATAAAAATGGGCCCGTTTTTAAGAAATTGCTACCTACAGTTGTGTAGAGTTTCACAAATACAGGCAGGTCCCCATTTCGCTTTGCTCTTCTACTGAATTAATACCAACCTGTTCAGTGGAGCCTTCAGAATGTCCACAGGAGGCCCAGCAGAGCGTAAGTAACGCTCTGGCAGATGAGTCGGCAGCACCCGGTGATTGGGGCCATCCCAAGGAGCTGATATCATCATTAATGAAGTCTGTCACATCTGTTGCTTGGGCACCTGTTGTTTAGCCCACATGCCAACCTGGATGGTAAATAAAATGAGGTCAGAATTTCACAGTGACTGATGCTGAATTCTCCATAGCATCCTAGCATCCTTGTGTCAGATCTTGAAGAAAATATACTCAGTTCCAGCACAAATTCTTCCCTTTTCCTTTAGCTTTTCCTTTGTTTGTGGTATAGCTTACACTGCTTATCCTTGCTTCAGTTCCTTCACTTTTTCATGTAGCACTGTGTGCAGGCCAGAACTGGGGGAAGGAACAAAAATGCTCAAAATCCAACTTTTGTTCAGTATTTCTTGGGAATTGTAGGCTTACCACATCGAGCTGTCCCACAGGGGATGGTCTGAGGAGTGAATTCATGCATGTGTTGTTAATGTTTTACGGCAGGGTGGGGAATGTCGCTCTGTGTTTTATATGGGTCAAAGCCAGGTGACTGTTTTTAGTTTTTAATGTTTCATTTTTTGTAATATTTTATTTTTCAATATTTCTGATAATGGCCATGTGCTTTGTTGTGTCCCCTGCCAAAGGCGCTGGGGAAGCTTTCAGCTGGGGAAGAGCTTCTGGCTCCTGATTTATGGCCTTAATGATGTTAAAAACACTCCATCTCTCCTGTCACTCTCTTGGACCTTATGGCTGCTTCACATAGCAACACCTGTTTGCTCAAGGTGGGACAGCAGTGAGCCGATACACCTGCAGGTAGGACCTGGCTGCCTGCCTGCTCTCGAAGGGAAGGGTTTCCTTTAATTATGACATAGGTCAGACATTGCAGGCAAAACTGCCATTGGTAGAAAGCTGCAGGAAAAAAATTGCAGCCGAAATGAGCCTGTCCTCATGCCCTTGGAGCTGTGGAGGAGTCTGCAGTTGTATATGACCAGCTCTGTTTCCCCTTGTCCCCCTCCCCCCTCCTGGAAGTCAGGTGGCTGGCAGCTCTCTGCACAGCTCTGCGCTGGGGACAGCTGGCTGCACAGGGATTAGCAGGGGAAGGTTTAGCAGGAACACGGGGCTCACCGTGCCAGCACCAGCACATTGTTGTCCCTGCAGCAGCATCCTGCCTGCAGCAGCAGCGAGTACAGGTGCTTCCTCAAATCTCCTTGTGCTTATTTGGGGGCACAAGCCTGCAGCACCTCGTTCCATTGTATGGCAGTGTTCTGTCTGTAGACGGTCACTTTCTTCTCTGGGCAGCTGAATGGGCTTTGGGTAGTATTGAAAAGGTTGGAGGCCAGCTTTCAAAAAGACCAAAATGCGTTAGGCTCTACTGTGAGGCCTACTGTAGCACCAAAAGTCTCATCTAAACACAGCTATACTGTTATAGAGGGGTTCACTGAAAGATGCTGGCAGAGGCCCTTCTGCATCAATACAATAAGGAACTCTGGGATGGGAGTTAGGTTTTTGTTTTAAGCAAACCAGTGTAGTTAAAGGCTGTAAATATTTTAAGTGTATTTAATGGCCTTGGGAGCGATGTGCCAGGCACTTTCAGCAGACTGTGGATTTATTATTTTTTTGGAAACCCCAGCTTCAGCTGGGAAGTGCTGCCTTCATCCCTTCTCCCTGAATTCACGCCACTCACAGCCAGACCTCTCACTGCTTGTTCCCACTCTCCCTCCTTGTTCCCCCACTCGCCTTTCCAGCTCGCACCTCTCTGGAGCCAGGGCTGCAATCAGCCCGTGGGTGCTTTGCCCACAGAAATTGTCCTCAGAAATTACTATCTGACCAAAAACTTGTGAAACTGCAGCATCAAAACAAAGGCAACATTTTGAAACATTTAAGGAGGAGATGGAGTGGGAGGAGAAGAGAACATTGATTCAGTTGGGAAGGAATTTGGAAATGCAAGAAATGAAAAAAGAAAACGTGCGCGTGAATGTTTTAGCAGTTCTAGAAACAAATGGGCAAACGATGCAGATTTAGAATATAAATGCAGAACTGACCTTTTCATTTCACTCGTGTGTGAGTGAGGGAAGGAGCTCACGGCCCCAAGGGAAAGCTGACCCATCCTAAAGCCAACTCCAGGAGCTGCACTCCAGCAGGCAGAGCGAGCACCTGCACTCACGTGCACGGGACGTGTCAACATCTTCCACGTTGGCAACGACATGAAATTGAGCGAAAGGAACTGGCTGCTTACAGAACCCCTTCACAAAGGTTTCGTTTGTACCCAGCATGCTGGGGAGCACGTTTTTCTGAGTCCTCTCCTCGCCTGCTGCTAAATACTGAATGAGTGCTTCTGTGCGCGTGTTGCTTTTTCAAGCGAACGGTATTGAAAATAAATGAAGAGAAGTGCCCTCCTTTTCATGCGATAGTAATCTGAGACTTTTCCGTTACATGAGGCTCTCCACAGAAGCGTGTAATTCCACCAGCTTTGTTTAGGAAGACTTGTGCGGTGCAGCGGGGCGCGGGCAGCCATCCCGCACGCGGCCCTCGGCTTGGGTGCTGCCGCCGCGCCGGGCGCTTCCAGCGGAAGGAGCCTCCCCGGCGTCCCACCGCCAGCCCCGCTCTTCCCCAGCTCCACCGCCCCTTCGCCCTTGGTACAGCCTACGTTTCCTCCACCGTGTGCCGTATGGTAATCGAGTGACATCAGCCTCCGCCCGGGCGGCTGCTGATTATATTACAAACCAGCCGTAAGGTCTGAGGTGTGCGCGGCTCCTGGGAGCGCTGCTGGGACGGCTGCGCATGGCTCCGGGCTGAAACGCAAGTTCGCTTTTCTTTAGGTTAGTTTCACTGGAGCTGGGCGTTTGAAACCGAATTGAAGCGCTGTAGTGGAGCAGAGAAAAAAAAAAACAGAGCAACCACCACCAAAAAAACTCTTCCTGGTGCATTAAGTTTGAATCTGTTACAGAAAACGTGCCGCCAACCCACACCGCTGGATTTTGAACCGGAGCTGCTATTTGCTCGGGGCTCAGTGAGAGCGTTTTCTCAGGGACCGAAGCCAAACTTCAGAGGAAGCTGGGATTTACCTGGATGTGGGGTAGAGAAACCCGTGGTTTCTTTATGCTGCAGTTCATCGTATCCCTGTGTTACCTGTAAATGGAATTACAGAAATCAACCAGTATGCCTGGGCCGTTGTCCCCAGGATACGCAGCTCAGGTGCCCTATAACTATAATCAGTTAGAAGGAAGATTCAAGCAGTTACAAGGTAAGCCCGTGCTGTTTTGTGTGTTTGTTGTTGCTTTTTTCTTCCTTTTGTAAGTGTTGCTACGATATGATCCCAGTAACATGTTAGCCTGGGCTTGTTCTCCTTGCAGGGAGGCAGGAACGATACAGAGTCCAAAAACAGTGCTACAGCACAAAGCTGTGTGTGCTTTTAAGAGCCACTGTGTGACTTTTATCTCTCTGAAGGTGTCCTCGGTCTTACACAGCGGTGCAGTGCAGTCCAACTGTGAGCACTCAGCATTACAGATGAGAAGCAGCCCCGACCAAGTCAATCGGAACAATGAGAGGGAGAGTGAGGAAGTGGTCTTTCTGTTTGTTTTCGCCTTAAATGAGAGATAGTCCTAACTGTGGATATTAGTAGTGAAATCTAGGCTTTGTTTGGGTGCAGTGCAGCAGCTCTAACTGCCTGTGTACCTCCTGTAAAGAAGAAAAGGTAGCTTGACTTTTTCAAACCAAGGGTAGTTGCATCATTTCCAAACAAAATGCCTTGCTCATGTTGATAGTAGATTACTCTGAAAGCTTTTGCATACTTTAATGTTCCCAGCTTCCTTCATTTTTTACCACTTTACTTTTAGACAGAGGCAGTGTTCTGCAGTGTCTTCCCATTAAATTCTATATTTGTGTGAGAAGAGAAATCAGCTATTGCCTTTGGGGAATGGGATGTGCTTGATAGAGGCTAGGCCTCTGAGCTGGGCTGGAAACCCAGATTGCTCGTGCTGCAGTGGAGCAGGATTGTGCCCAGTGCATCTCTGCCTTGAGCACAGGAATATCAACACCACTGTTTCTGTGCAAGGCAGTTCTCAGGAATGAATGAGCTCTGGCAGTGCAGTTCAGAATCAATCAGAATTCTTAACCAAAACCAAACATCCTCCTCCTCCGTAGCCATGTGACTGTAAATAATCCCGGAGCAGCCCAAGCACAGTGAAGTTCATCCCTTCTGAGCATGTTTCTTATTTCACGCTGATCTGTACCACAAGTGTGGTCCTGTGGTTCCTGTTGGAGAAGGAGGAAGAGCCTTGGTTAGCTTGAAGAATGTTCCCAGTTGTTGGCTTAAGGAGGGAGGCAAGAAAATCTTTCATTCATAGTACTTTGTTTATCTTGTAAACTGGCTCACAGTAATGGCTGCGTTCTGGATGCAATAAGATAAAATGACAGCATTTTAATAGCTGATAACTGAGACATTCCTCAGGCAAGCATGGAAAGTCCAGGCTCCAAACTTACACATAAGGGAATACATACATTAGAGGCTTTATCTTGGACATCTGTCAGATCTTAGGTTGCGGTACTGCTTAAAAATGAGCGAGGTAAGCTTGCAGCACGGGGGGAGAACTAGTGGCTCCCACCTCTTTCTGTGCTGGTGAAGGTAGCAGCCAGAGGAAGGCAGATTTTATCATTTTCAGGTCACTGCTTCAGGAATCCATTATCTGCATGTTTACATGACGTTGAAAGAAGAAAGCAAACCGCAGTGTTGAAAGCACAGAAAGTGAGTTTACCCTGCAGTGGAATGCAGTGTTGACTTTGGGGGGGAAGACTGCAATACTCCTCTTAAATTTACGGCAGTTTCCTGTAACGAAGAAGATAACACGCTGTGTTCTGAAAGCATAAGGAGGGACTTTGCATTAGACCATCCCTAGCTGTTTATTCATGTTGCAGAGGGTAGACAGGCCTGACGATGATCTCCTACAGGGTGGAGCTTAAGTACAGGAAATGTTTTAAATTATGCTCTAGATACTCCATGAAATGCTAAATAACCGTGCAAAATATTTCGTGCTGCAAAGGGAGTGGCCCATCTGCTGACAAAGGTGTCTTTCCTTGGATTAATAGCTCTCTGTTTGAGGAATAGCTGAAAGCCATTATTTGGGAGTTATAGACCCTTGGAGTGACTTTTGTGTACTTGCTGGAAGCTCCAGTGAGACTGCAGGGCACTTGTGGCACTGCAGACTGCTCGGTGCCAGACCCAGCAAGGGTGAGCTGAATACGTGTATAGTACTCTTGAACTGCAGTTTTATCATCGACTGGAAGGCGTACAAGCAAATAAGATCAAGTCACTCTGATTCCTGAGGTAGAAGGTTGGGTGGGTTTGGCACGGTGTTTTGCTTAGAAGGAAAAAGAAGCTGGGAGACAACGAGTTCTGCCCCCAAATGCTAAACGAATCCTGGTAAACAAGTTAGCCTGGCAGGACAAAGGAAATTCAGATGCAAATTCAAATGACCACTTAGGCACTCTTACATTCCACCTCTGTTAAGTGCCTTGAAGTGGTGATTTTTATGGAAACTTAAGAAACTTGGCTGCGGTGACAGAGCCTTCTGAGCAGATTTTCCAGCCTGCACCTGGAGTTGCTTTGCAGAGATCCCTACTCCCATACGCTCTGGGGAGGGCAGAGAGGAAAGATGCAGCAGAAGATGCCGATACAAATGGATCTGAGGATCGAGGCTGCTTTGTGTTTAAAAAAAACCCTGAAGTCTTATGTGGAGATGATGCAAATAGTGGAGGTGCCTATTAAAGTGGCTGTGACTGGAGGAGGAAAACTAGATCATCTCCAGGACTTCTGAGCATACTTAGTCCTTGTGAAAATGTCAGTGCAGGTGTGAGAGGAAAAATGCTTTAACAAGTCCTGTTGTCTTCAGTAAGCTTTGTCAGTTCTGATTATAGTTAGTTCACCCTGTCCTGGAATGATAGGTGAGAGATGGTATCAGCGGTTGCAATCGTTTAAACCTAGGCGTG